CAAAATAAATTTTGGTTAGCAGTATTACAAAACCAAATATTTTCCTCATAAAATAGTGGTAGAAGTTAATAACAAAATAATGTTATTATTTTATTACCATTAAACCAAATGATAAATCCTTAACATAATAATACACACTTATGTATTTGGTCTTAGCTAGCAGAAATCAATGCAAAATAATACTTTTGTGCATTAATTTTTTTAATATTAGCTGAGATGTTATAAAAAACTAAACTAATCCACAAAAAAATTAAATGGTTCTTCATAATTTCATTTTACAATTAGAATTTCAAATGAAATTTTGGTCGATAATAACAAGTATTAATCCATTTACAATGTTACAAGTAAAATGATCGAGAATGAACTTTAACAAGATGAGATGTGAATTGGATAAAATTATGTTTATCTCATTAAATGAAAATTTAATCAAGCTACAGACTAATAAAGATTGAACAGAAATGCAAAGAAAAATATTAAAGAATCAACAATAAACATCGTAACTCAGATTTTTATAGATAAAACAAAAACAGATAATTTATTTTTCTTGTTCTTCCCTTGACTTAAGGAACTTTATTCACAATATTGATAATTAAAAAACAATAAAGTTTAGCCAAACCAATCTATTAATCAAAGCCTAAAACAAAATTTTTAGACTCACTACCTAATAACAGGTTTTTTTTATCTTATTCCAATTTATCAATAAAAAGTACACAAAACTGTCTATTCTGAGATATCATACCTACAATATTCACAGAAAAGTAAATATAGAGTATGAAAAGATTCTAGATTACTATCCATTCTACTATAAACTAATAAGCAAAAATGTATGTAGGAAATCAAGTTGTCTTGTAAGAAGAGTTATACCATAAATAGTTTATCTTGATCTAAAACAGCCCTAAAGCAAATCACAGGCTTGGACATTTCTGCAAGAACCTAAACTGGAGAGAGGAATAAGATAAGATTTTAAAGCTTTTATTTAACAACGTCTCATCTTCCTATGAAATTAATTTTATGGTTTCATAGAAATATCCTTTATAGTTTCAACTATGTTTAAAAAAAAACAAAAACAATATTGGTGTACTGCCATCAAAAGTTTTAAAAATTATCAGAAGTAATAACTGTCTTAGTAGCAAAAGGGTAAAACCTAATAGTAATTAAAATGGAAATAACAGTAAATTATTTAATTGAAAAATATAATTTAATGAGAAGACAATTAAATGGCCTAGAAGCAATTAATTTATCTAACAATAAACTGGATAGTCTTCGATACAATATTGTTACAGCTTAAGGTTCCTTCAAATAAGATTAATAAAGGAAAATAAGAGCTGTCATAAATGTATGCATTTTAGTTTTTAAAAACAAATTTTAAATAATTTTTTTTCCACTTCATTTTTGAAATTTGTTTACTAAGTAATTTCTCATAATATACAGATAACATTATACTCATTCATTTCGTAAATATTATAATTTTCAATTATCCAATTGGAAACTCAATGAACAAAAAATCATAACAAAATAAATTTATTTATAGATAAATTTGAACCGTCTAATATTTATATTAGTGATGAACTATAGAATAAATGTTACAGATTTAGAATATATTATTTACAATAAAAAATAAATATATAAAAAATCATTCTAATTATTTTACAATTCATAGTAAAGGAATGTTGTATTTTTGTTCTCATGAAAATGTTAACGACAGTACACCTCAAATAAATTTTTCAATAAAAGTTAACAGCTAAGTTTCAGAAATAGACTAAGTTGACAAATAAGTTCTTTCAGTTTTTAATTGAAATTTTTATTCTCTTTCACTTTTGAGACTAAAAAAAGTTTCATTCACTAATTTTTCTTTCATTAAAAAAATTATGATTGACAGAACAAAAAGTAAATCTGATAACCTGTTCTTGTTTCTCCCTATTTACTTTTATAATATTCTTAAGAGACTTTAGACTGTAGTACAAGTCGAAAGCACCGAATCATTTGGTCCTAGCTCAGTTAAGAAGACAAAGCAAAACATATTATTATCCTAGAATTTAGCATTGTTGATAACTAAGTAGATAGAGGCCTGTAAAAAAAAATGATCTAAACTTGTGCAAATAATCGCAGGCTTTTTTGTACAATATCTTGTGCTGATTGGTAATGATTTTGATTGATGGCCTTAACATTCGTTCAAAAGATAGTAGAAAAGCAATCATAGTGTGTGAATTTTGATTAAACATCCTGTCTAATGCTCCCTGCATGTCACTACTTTTTTTAAATTAAAAAAATATTACTATATTTATACAATCTTCTAATACGATGTTACATGACCATAAGTAAACAAAATATACTGCTAATGACTGAAAAAAAAAATGGCATACCGAACTTTGTATTAGCTTATTATAAATAGATCACTACAAAGACCAGAATATGTAAATAAGGGTGATGTAAGGGGCTGGCTAGAGTGCATGATTATAATAATATAAAAATCATAGGATCAAACACCAAAACCTTCCTCATTAAAAAAAAAAAACAATGTTTTGTTAAAATAAAACCAATTAAACAAAAATATGAAAGAAATTTACTTAATTATAAGATCAGTTCTAATGAACAAATTGTTTTATATCAACCACAAATTTTTATACAGTTAGATCTTTTTATTATATTCAACTTCCATACATCAAATATTTCTAAATATAGAACTTTTTAAGGAACCTTTGAATTTCCGTGAGGAAAAAAAAATTTGTATATCAAATCAAATTTCTACATATCCAACAAAAAGTCACATTTAAAATACACATAGTGTCAACAACAAATGTCATATGATAGAGGCCTTAGTTTACATCCACAAGAATGGATAATAATTAAATTTTTAAAAAAATTGTTTTAACAATATGCAAGCAATACTATGGTACATAGGGAAGTGAAATTCTATGAATCTTTCCTAATATAAAATGAGATTTTCATTTTGAATTCAGTTTGTTTTTCTATCAAGTAGTAACATTGCTCCTAAGTGAAAATCATTAAGTGTGAATAAAAAGTTTGACTTAATAAATACTTAAAAAGCAGGGTGAATAATAAAGATATAGCAAAAACAATTGTAATTGTTTTTAGTATGAAAAATTTCTAAACATCAATTTTTTTTTCAAGGAAACTTCATGTTGGATATATAAAAATTGGACTGTATATACTTTTAAAACATTAATCACATAAAATTTAAAATAAGAAATATCTAAAGAATAAACTAAAAATGGAATGTATTAATAACTTTTGATTAAACAAAGTCATGGCATATAATTGAGACAGATTATTATGTATGTCTCAGCAGATTTTATTGTATTTTTTTATGAAACCTTCATTATTAAACTGTACTAGCTTTATATTTACAATTTTCAAATCTTATTCATTTTTAAATGTTTGAAACAAAATTATTATATGTTGATTCTCGATAAACAGATTCCCCAAACTAAATATACCTCACATTGAAATCTAAGACCAGGCCAAAACAAAATATTTTTTTTTAATAAAAAATATTTCTTTAAGAGTTTGGTAAATATTTTATACTCACGGAATAAAATAATGCTGTATTTTAAAATGTTTAAAAATACAAAATATAGTATGTTAATAGCTGTCATTTCTACATTTTTCCAATAGGCAAAAGATGCTATTGACTTTCATTATTTCTTATAAAAATATGAAAAAAGTATTAACAAATAATCAAAATCAAAATTTTATAAACACATATATTTATATTGGGGAGTGGAGTGGCTCAGTGAGTTGGGCACTAGGTTGCTAAGCTCAAAGTCCCAGATTCGAATCCGGCTGATTTTGAGTAATTTTTCATCAGCCGTGGATCAATCAGGGGGTCGGGAGATCCTCCCGGGGCACCCCCAGCCTCTATAAAGCGGGTACTCTTAATTATTAGATATTTATATTAATAATTATAAAAATGTTAATAGCATTTAGTCCTATATCCCTGAAGAATAGATATCTATAGGCAATATTCATGACAAAGGTACATAAGACACATTGGTAGAAAACAGACCCAAATAATACCCAAAGATATTGTTTCTCAGAACTGATAGAATAACTTTTCATTTACCATTAACATCTATACGCCTAAAAGAATCAGGCTGAATGGAAATAGGTAAAAATCTTGTTAAGGCTGAGAGTAAGGAAAGCCAATTCAGCCAATACCTTCCTATGAGATGAAGTTCAATCTCAAGTGGAACAGTGGATATAAAATATCAGACATTTTATATCCATCAGCTGATGTGGTACAGAGCTAATAATGCTTTTTTGTTTAAATAGTAGCCACAAAATATACATTGAATCATTTACCACTAATAACATGAAATATTAGAATAATGAAATTTAGTGTTTTAATCAAAGCATAGAAAATACGCAATGTTGTTTCAAAATTAGTTAAACATAATGACTTAAATGTTAGCCTTAGCCTTAATTTCTTAGCATTTGTGTTGTTACATTAATTTTTATTGTCTAGTTTTGTTTTCATCTAACATTTATAAAGTCTACAGACTTCTTGTTTCATATCCATTGCATAAACCTGACATATTTCAATCAATATATGAAACCTTACTTTCTTTTTCTTTTTTCTTCTTTTTTTGAAGTAGTATACATAATTAAAAGCATACTCTAAAAAGCATACTCTAAATACATAATTAATTAATTTTTGCGTTAACTAAAATAACAATTTTTATCATAAATCACTTTTAAAGTCTTGATTTTGGTATATATATATATATATGTATATAAAAAGTGTATGTTCATATTTTGTACATGTAATTCCAAGGTAAAGTTTATATTCATTTGTTATTAAGAAAAATAATTGTAAAAACCGAACTGAAAAATTAGCTAGCAAACAAAACTGCAAGACAAGGAATTCGAAGGAAAATAAGAAAGAAGTAACATAAGGTTTATAATTCAACAGTCTTGCATTTATCTTTTTTACATTCCAATTATTAAATAGAAACAATTATCCATTTTTCAATTTTGACCTTTATTCTAAATATCTTTTCACACCTCTTTGCCAAAGAGGTGTGAAAAGGTAGAAACAAAGTTAACAACCTATAATGCATAACTCAATAGGGAGAATTAAAAGAGCACTAATCACATGGCATATGACTTATTTTTGTTACAAAAAAGGGAAGTGGCTAATGGAAGGTATAAATAATAAAAAGAATTAAATACAACAAAGATTTTAACAGGCCTGAGTAGTAACTTTTGAACATTATTTTTTTACAAGAAACTTCTGAAATTATTCATACATCTGGGGCCAACATACTGCTACAATTTATAAAGATCAAATCCATACCCGGAGCCAAATTGCCTTAGCCAGGCTGAAGAGATATCAATGCAGCATTAATTGTAACATTCTTCTGTGCATCAGTAATAATAATCACTAGAACTGAGATCAACAACTTAATGTGATGTCAGTAATATTTTAAACATTTGTTTCATTCTTAAATATGGCATATTTTGATAAAGGGAAACTATCAGTTTCCATATATACTTCCTAAAGATTTAGAGAACTCACACTTTCATGCCTTTCACTTAAGCATTAGGATTTGCTGTCATTAATTTAATATCAGCTTTCATCATATCTTTCACAAGTTCCTGAAAGCAAATATAGAAATAGATAAATATAAATATAAACAATAGATATAGAAATGCATAAATTTAATAAAGTTATTGGAATTAATTAATATTTAAAAATTATAAACTTGACAAAAGTCGAGGATATAATAATCAAGTTTCAAAAGAAATAAAAATAATACAATAAAAATAAGGGTTATTTAATATTAATCATAAAATCTTTATAATTTTAACTTCAGTATTCTTCAGTTCACAACCAGACCACCAATCCTTCCTTGATTGAATGGTAAAGACACACAAAGTAATAAGATTGCTTTTGATTTGCCATTCAAGATATTTTCAATTTAAATGATGTAAAATGAAAAAAAAAACATTAAAAAATTAATTCTATTTTACATTGTTATTAAACTGTCAGACACAACAGTTTCGAAACAGCTTTTATGATTTTTTATATAAAATGAATATTACTATTTTAAAATACCTTTAAATTAACAGTATCTCCATTTCATCAAAATGTTTAAATAGAATAAAATTTAACAATAAAACCTAAAAATAAAACATTCCTTTTTTTCATTTGAAGAAAAAGCTAATATTTCTTGCTATACTGAAGCATGCCTGTGAATAATTTTTTTCAATGGAAACATTTGCAAAATCAATGTTATGCATATACACACAATATGAATAATGATGATACTGACGCATGAATCTGCCTTTTGTTTTCAATTGGGTCAAGGAAGCAACATAAAATTTTGTATTATATATAATTTCTCAATGTTACTTTTACACAAAATAAGATATTTTATTTAAAGATGAGAAAAATAAAAATAAACAGTTTACAATTATGGACAAAAAATGGACTTTATAAGGATCACATTACCTGGAAATTGAGCCTTGGCTTCCAGCCTAAAGTTTCTCTCACTTTAGTTGAGTCACCCAATAACGATTCCTGAAATTATTAATGTAATAAAAATACTGTTATAGTAATTTTTGTTTGAATAAAATAATCCAAAATATATAAATATAACAATCAATAAAAAAAAGCCATAGTAAAACAAGTGAACTAATCAATTATCATACCACTTCAGTTGGGCGGAAATATTTAGGGTTCACTTTTACCCTAATAATTCCTGATTCTTTTTCCTTTCCAACTTCGTTTAAACCACTCCCTTCCCAAATTATTTCTACTCCAATATACCGAAATGATTCTTCAACAAATTCGCGAACACTATGAGCTTCACCGGTCGCAACAACAAAATCATCTGGTTTTTCATACTGCAGCATTAACCACATGGCCTGAAATTTAATTTAAACATTAAATTGATGTTATATATCATACCCAAGGTAAAGGAAAGTCAATCTCACCTCAACATAATCTTTAGCATGCCCCCAATCTCTTTTTGAATCCAAATTTCCCAGTTCAAAATAATCAAGTAACCCTAATGATATTTTTGCTACTGATCGGGTTATCTTTCGCGTCACAAAGTTTTCTCCTCTTCTTGGACTTTCATGATTAAAAAGTATTCCATTGCAGGCAAACATGCCATATGCTTCCCTATAGTTGATTACTACCCAGAATGCATAAAGCTTAGCACAAGCTAGAAAATTAAAATATAGATTAAAATTCATTATTACAAATCTTTATCAAAATAATAGGAATCTAGTAAAATAAAGCAACAGACTATCCCATATTTAAAAAAAAGTATTCTTCATTAAGGTTTAACAAATAAAACACAATGCTTAATTTAATAATTTATGCATAGTAGAACAAATCAATATATTACCATATGGCGATCTTGGATAAAAAGGAGTAGTTTCTTTTTGTGGTATTTCTTGAACTTTGCCATACAATTCTGAAGTTGATGCTTGGTAAAATTTAACTTTTTTCTCCATACCACATGTTTTTATAGCATCTAAAAGTCTCAATGTTCCAACTCCATCTACTTCAGCTGTATATTCACTCAAATCAAATGAGACCTAAAATACTCTTAATTATTATTACCAACAAAGTGATTAAATAATCTAATACCAGAATAAAAATAAATATTTATTTTTAAATCCACACGGATTGTTTAATTGTGATACTTAGTGAGTATGATAAAAAAAAACAACAGAATATAAGACTAGAGGATGGCCAAAATCCATCGACACCTTCTCCTTTCATGATATGTATTTTAAAAAATAAATCTGTATTCATAAATAACACAATAACATTGTAATGCAGGCATTATTACCTGCAATATAAAATTATTATTTTTATGATTTATTGAACTCTTTTGGAAATTAATTTGTAATTATAAAAATCAGATCCCCTTCACAAATAATTGGAAGGGGGAGAGAGTTTTTTTTTTATAACATATTTAATATTTATTTATAAAAATATTTAATAAGTAATTAATGGGAAATAAAATTGTCTTTCTAGGAAAATTGTCATTTAATGAAACCTTAGCATTTTAACAATATTTTTTACCCAATCTTCATTACTTAATCTCCTATTTGTTTTCTTGTTTTTTTCAAGAATCAAAACTAAATTAAAAAGTTGGTAATTTTCCAAAGTATCCAATAAATTCCAGTGTGCTCACATGCACACATAGGCGGATATACCAGGGAGAGGGGAGTGCTTTCGGGCTGAAGCCTCTCCTCCTCCCCTCCGTCCCCCCAAAAAAATATTAAAATGTAACTATGTTATGTTATGGTAAAATATTTTTTTTTTAAATTATCTCTTAAAGTATTATTGTTAGTGTAATTATATTTAATAGGACTTCAAGAATCACTTAAACACTATTTCATATAGTTAGTTTCTTTCTTTTTTTTCCAAAGTAATTATCATTATAAATATGAAAAAAAAAAGCTCTCGGGCTAAAGCCCCCCAAAATTAAATCCTGAATCTGCTAGTGCATGCACATCTCTCATTTTATTGTTACAGATTTTCATATTATAATCATTTTCTCCAAATCATGAAGCCGAATAAACCTAGAATAAATATCACATTAACTTCAACAATTATAATACTTATAATGAAACTATATATCTTGTATAAATTCCTAAGAAAATAACTGTTTATTTCAAATGAGAGCATAAGAAATATTTTTTAGGTCAGAATTGTTCCATTTTTCTATCATTAACAATATCAAGAAATGGAAAATCCATGAAAAACTCAAAAAATTGGAGAGCGTCTTACCCTAAAAATATTCTCTTAAGTAAGAAACAGCTTGGGAAGCTTGCTGTAATATTTGGTACAGTTAAAAAATAAAACAAAAATTGAGTTAATATAGGTAGAGTAGGGGTTTTAGGGTGATAACCCCTACAAATTACATATGAGTTAATATAAATTACATATTTCATATTTGTGTATTAATGAAAATATACAAAATACTGTTTCAGTGCAATCATCTACTACCAAGAAATAAAAAAAAAATGTTAAATATAATGACAAGATGCATAACACTGAATTAATAACTCACTTTAACATGAGTTTGTGCAGCTAGATTATATATCTCTGCTGGTTTTACTTCACTTATTATTTTTACTAAACTACTGCTATCAGTCATATCCCCATAGTGTAATTTTATCTGACCACCATGATGAGCAGCTGGCTTTGAATATAAATGTTCAAGTCTTCCAGTGTTAAATGAACTGGAACGACGAATAATCCCATGAACGAAATATCCTTTGCTTATCAGAAACTCTGCTAAATACGAACCATCCTAAAACAAAGCAAGTAATCAATTTCTAAATTTAATAACAAATAATAACAATAAAAATCTCCATGTTTACCTGACCAGTAATACCAGTAATTAGTGCTATTTTTTTCTGATTAGTTGCTTCACCACAATCCATTGTGACACATTCAGTCAAATAGACAATTCAATTTTAATCATGTGGCAAACCTACTTATGGCACAGTGTAATGAAGTTCAAAACAGAAGTGATAAGATAAACCACTAGTTAACAAGAGAAACCTATTCTGAACCTCCCAAGATTACTTAACCTTCCTCACACCTCAAATCTTTGTAACACAGCATATAATTTTGTTATTCAAATCATTGTCAATAGAATCATAATTCATTAAAAAACAGAATAATAATTCAAACTATATTATACCACTTACAGTGCAATGTCTGCTAAGTACACCACATCTTACACCAAACAGGTTTGTTTGGAATTGCTTAATTTATATTGTACTTGTAATAATTACTATGACAGTTTAAGAAAGAGAAGAAAATAAAAATAAATTCAGTAAAATTGTCTTGTTATTTGTGATGGTCCCTTATATATATTTATGTACTAATGAATATGAAAATCTTTTCAAGATTAATAGAACTCAAGACAAAGTCAACATATATTTGTATAGAGTAGAATATCTGGAGAAAATGCTGAGAAATAGGGAAATGTCAATGGAACAAAGGCGAGTTACTTTACCAAAGTGGAACTAATTATAGTAAAAATCATTATATTTATAAAAATTTTAATTTTTGTTTATTCACTTTTTCAATACTTGTTTGAAATCTTTTGGTTACAGATCAAAACTAGAAGAGGAACTTGCAGAAATCAAGAAACAACTTTTAGACAGTGAAAATGACTTGAAACATTGTTATGGTGAAAATAGAAAAACATTTATGATTGTTGTTATTTTCATGTTTTTTAGTTTTCTTATTTATGTTGTATATATAATGATCATCGGACCTAAATAATACTTTTTACAAATTTTTATATTTTCTAAATGATTTTTAATAAATTATTTTTTTACCTTTTTTTATATTTTACACACTTATTACCTATGCTGTGCAATAAAATTCGTTGCAGTTTATAATAAAAAAATATTATTTTTACTATTGTTATCTATAAGAAAATAATTATTAATTATTACTTAGACTTTTAGTATGCTTCATCTGTTTGCGTAGAATTGTTTAAATAATTATTTTAACATAATGAAATTCATGTGATTTCAGGAATGATTCATTGAAACTTATTATTATCTTACTTAATCAAATAATTATGATAATGAATGTTTATCATTCATAAATATTGACAATGGTTACCAACTAACTTTTCATAGACATGTCCATTTCAAGAAAAATAATATTTTATACATATATCAAAGTTCAAAGTGATCTGTTCTTCATCCAAACAACTAATTTTAACAGCTAAAGCAAATTGAAACAAAACTCATAATTTCATATGCTAGCCTGTAGTATTTTATTTAATTATGCTTTCCTTAGAACTTAAAGTATACCGATATATATGTGTCCAAAGATTAAATACCAAAAACTACTTCTAATGCATAATTTTTATCAAATTATTAATTTGTTAATTATGAACCATTATGAGTCCCATGATTGAACCACTATTTTTATAAAATTAAACTAGAATAAAACCCAGTTTTCAGCACCCTGAAGGAAACTTTAAAATATGTTTGACAAGTTTTAATCTCATGGATACGTGGTTTAACAAGTTTGGTACTGTTAAGTTAGTAAAGAACTCTAATTTCAAAATGTATATGTGAAAAAATGTCTTTCATTTATTTGTTTACAGAAAACGTTTTTGGCACTCCTTGCCCAATTTTCAAAAACCTAAAGAATTAAATCTGACAGCCTTCAGAATGAAAAACTAGAATGATATTGTACCGGAATGCTTGTTTCTTGCCAAAAACAGAAGACATGTCCTTCCTGAGGGACATCTGTCAGGTTTAAAACCTTCAGCTATTTTTTCGACCTATAAAATTAAATAAACAGTGGGAGATGCTAGAATATGTGGGTGCAGGAGGGATTCCCATTTCAGATGAATGCCTTTTGCCTGCTCTAGACCATTTGCAAGGCTTAATATTCTTTATTAACTGCAGTGGGTTCTGATAGCAGGGAGGGGGAGGGGGGTGAGAGGGTTACTCCAGTAACCAATAAATAAAAATCTGGTGAGTGCATCACACAATTTTTACTTACCAAAGTACATAGATTAGAAATTAATGTTTTCGTATACAGAGATTAGGCATCCCGAGATGGCGGCACCATTGCCAAGTCATCTGATAATGATAATGAAGCCAAGATAATGAAGAGGACGAGTTCGAAAGACGCACCACGGTATGCCCTCCCGGCACGGACCTGTGCCCACCATGGGACATAAGGGATCTTCGCATTGCCTTTGACAAGCAAAAGACTGGTCGTACCACTGGTTTAGACACCATTGACGCGGCAATTTTCAAGAACAGTATTTCCTCTATAGAAGAAAGATTGCTGGCTGTTTATAATGATTGCCTGGACAGGGAATACTTCCCAAGAATCTAGAAAATCGCTAACGTCAACCTCATTTACAAAGGAGGAGACAAAGATAAGCAATTAGCCAAATCTTATAGGCCTATATGTCTCCTCCCTGTCATGAACAAGGTGTTAGAAAACCTGATACTCACCAGCCTACGGGCAGTCTTCTCGAGAGCGAGCCATCCACGGCAGTACGGATACTCTAAAGGCAGGGGAACCGCAGATGCCCTGCTGAGAGTGCGCCGTGATGTCGAAGAGAAGGCGGAGAAGTATGTTATGCTCCTCCTGTTTGACATATCATCCGCCTTCGATAGCGTCTGGTGGCCGAGCGTAGTCCAGCAGTTGCAAAGGTATGAAGCTCCCAGCAACTTGTATGGCTTGATCAGAAGCTATATCCACGGCAGGACCTTGAAGATTAAAGGTAGCTTCTATGAAGTAGAAGATACAGTAGAAAGGGGTTGTCCACAGGGCTCTGTCCTTGGCCCTGCCCTATGGAAACCGAGTTGCTGGGAGTGCTAGAACAGAAGCGATTCGCCGCAACTGCATATGTAGATGACCTGGCAGTTGTAGTGGCCTCAAATAGCAGGGCCAGATAAAAATATGAAGCTGAACGTTGTGCCAACCTTGTAAAAGAATGGTGCGAGAGAAAGAAGTTAAGGATGGCGGGTTCCAAGACTCAGACAATCCTCTTGAGAGGTACGACCGATAGGGCACACCCCATAACCTTGGTGATACAAGGTTCAAGAATACGTCCAAGTGAGGTAGTCACCTATCTTGGAATTAGGATTGGAAAAAAATTCAACGTGACGCCTCACTTGAATTATTTAAGAAATAGGATAACCTTAGCCCTTAATGGTCTCAGTCGCATAGGGGGAGGGGCCTTTTGGAGCCTTAGATATCCAGCAACTATGTCAATTTATAAAGGAGTAGTTGTTGGTATCTTGAGATACGCGTCCCCTGCATGGAACCGAAATATCTCGTACCGTCAGAAGCGCAGGTTGGCAACAATCCAGCGGAGGGCCCTGCTTAGAGTAACCAGGTCATACAGAACTGTGTCCCATGAAGCAGTGCAGGTTTTAGGAGGAGGTATTCCTCTCGACCTCCTCCTGCGGGAAGACCTTTTTCGGCACAACATTAAGAGGGATGGCTTGGCGGATTTACCAGCAAACATTCGGGAAAGGATTTGTGAAGACCCCAGAAGATGGAAGATGATCCTCCGGGAGGCTACATTGGAACAATGGAATCGGCGATGGGCGACAACCCCAAACGGGTCCACACTAAGAAAATTCTTTCCCACCGTTGAATTGCGCTTAGAAAAGAAATGGGTCCTCCCGGACTACTGGGTCTCACAGATCCTCACAGGGCATGGGCGTTTCAGAGCCAAACTTTTTAAATATGGTAAAAATATCGATCCCTTATGCCCCAGTTGTGGAGTACCTGAAACCGCTGAGCACATCCTTGTAGACTGCACCAGCTATGAGGCATTGAGGGCCAAATTAATGAGGGATAAAGGGCTTTACGTCCTAATAGAAAGACAATTACCCCAACTGATGTCTCAACAAAACTACCCGCACTTTAAAAGTTTTGTATGCGGGTGGAAAAAAAACTGTGGGCCTAACCCACTTCTCCCTGAGTAGGCGTGAAGAAGCAACACCTGGAAAGCCGCTGATTAGGACAGGAGAAGAAGATGGAGGACGATAAAATAAGAGAAAAATTATGAAGCAGACTGTGTGCACAGCAATGTAAAAAGATAAACATGCAACAGTGATTTGTTATGCAATGGGTATCAAGTCACTGCTGAAAACACCCGTATTGCCTTAAAGGCAGGGTAGGGAGGAAAATAAAATAAAATAATAAAATAAAAAGATTAGAAATTAATATTTTCGTATACAGAGATTAGGCATCCGGAGATGGCGGCCCCATTGCCAAGTCATCTGACTGCAGTCAGCCACTGCCCCTCCAGATTGGAGGAACAGTACAATAAAATTCACACACAGCACACTACACACACCCCAACACTACAGACAAAGGTCTCATACAGTTCACACACTAGGGCCACCTTTCCTGGATAGCTGCCCCGGATAGATGAGGAGGTCAGGAGGCTTTAAGATAGCAGTCCTACCATCTGACTCCGAGCATTGGGCTGGTAATCCTCTCCTGAACCACCAAATCACTAATGTTTAACAAAGATTAGTCGGACTGGTCCAAAGGAAACAGCATAGGGAACATCAACTGGACTTTACAATATTGTCATTATACCGACACGGATCACTTCAGATATTCCTAAATAATCTGCCTAATTATAAATTGACATTGTTGCCTTTCAAGTAGCTAGGTGGATGGGACAAGATAATTTTTAAAAAAGAGCTCTATACAATATACTACAGTTGTAATGAAAGGCTCCTTAAATTTGGAACAGGATTCATTGTTGGTAAAAGATAATCAGACCTAGTGATGGGATTCTAGCCAGTCAACCCAAGGCAATGTGTAATTAAAATTAAAGACAAATACCGCAAAAATTCCATCATATGCTCTCATGTTCCTTTTGAAGTCACAGAGGAGAAAGAAAAAGACACATTATACGATACATTTGAAAAATGTTACGATAAATTTACCAAGTATGACCTTAAGCTCATTGTTGTTGACTATAAAGCACAGGTTGGGAGAGAAGCTGCAAACCGATCTATAATTGGAAGCCACAGCCTGCACGAATCATCAAATGATAACAGCAAAAGACTAATCAACTTTCCTGCATCTAAAGGCCTTACAGTTGGAAGCACTAGTTTTCCCACAAGGAAGTCCACAAGGGGACATGGCGAAAGTATGCTGTAAATGGACGTGTTATCACGTCAAAGATTGGTCATGACCATAGATTGACAAGTCATTATAACAACCAGGTATAGGTCGTCTCTCCTTGGTGTATGGACTTACAAAGGCGCTAATATTGACTCCGACCATTATCTTGTAATAGCCAAAGTATGTGGGAAGAGACCCATGGTAAAATACGGTCTAGTAAAAATACCTAAAGAAAGTGCCAAATTCAGTGAATCCCTATATGGAAATTTAAGGAAAACATCACTGATTCAGGATCCAAGATACGAGGATTGACAACAAAAGTCAAGCTTAACCTGGAGGAAATCGCTGCTGGATGTCCGTAACAGGTGAGGAGCCGATGTGCCTAGTGACCACCATCTAATTACAGCAGTAATCCAGTTTAAAATAGAAACAAACAAGAAATCAATCGGATGTGTACAGGAAAGGTGGAATATAGGTAAACTTAAAGACGACAGAATTAAATCACAGTACACCCTGGAGCTTTCTTATCAATTTAACACTCTGACTCCTTACAATGATGATGATGATGATGCGCCCAAGACAGAAAAAAAAATCAATCGAAAGAAGGTGAAATTTTTAATTACTTAAGTTAAATATTTGAGCAGTTATCGCTTCCTATTCATAAAAAAACATGATTTATTTTTTTTAAAAAGTCTTAAATTTCCTACCTTTCTGCGAAAAATCGGACCATTATAAACTTTTTTGTATCTTGAGATCTGCTATCTACCCTTTAAATATTTCCCTCTACTTATGGGATACCCATTGTATATACTCTCCTGTGAAAAATACAAACAACTCAAAAAATTAAAATAATTATAAAATTTAAAAATAAATTCATAGCACAATAACGTTTTTATGTTATTAGGTGGTAAGAAGCTTTAAATGTCCATTGATCTGTTTGACAATTTACGAACATCAGATCTTTTAAACAAATCTTTTTTACGCTGTGAATAAGTATAAACAAAAAAATAATTTAAAAAATGCATAAACTCACAAGCGGATCTACGGGGGGAGGGGGTCTTTCAGGCTGAAGCCTCTCCCCCAAATATGGTAAAATATAAACACGTTTTACAGAAAAAAACATTAACAACTATCACCAAACTATCTTTTAAAGTATCCTGTAATTACATTTAATAGGACTTTAAGAACTACTTAAACACCATTTCATATAGGTAGTTAATTTCTTTTTTTTTTTCAAATTAATTATCGTTATATGTATATGAAAAAAAAATCTTTCGGGCTGAAGCCCACCTCCCATAAAATGAATTCCTGGATCCGCTAGTGCATAAACTTAATGCTTGTTTTCAATTATCAGATGTATTAATGGATTAATCCTACCTCAGTTTTTTTTCTGCTGTTAAAGAGAGAGTTTTTTTTTTTTTTTTTTTTAAATACGGTATCGTTTTGTGTGAATTAGACCTTTTTTTAAATAATGCCACGTGGAATTAAAATCAATGAAATTGAGCTGCAAAGGATAATGGACCTTGGAAGAGTTGGGATGACCCAGATGCAAATTGCTTCCATAAAGTAGTCATATACTTTTTGGCCGAGACAATTGTGGGAAAACAAAATAAGTATCATAAATAAAGTAAAATAATCATATGAAAGGGCGGTTTTGAGAAAAATCTCGAAAACAGGAGCATCCTCTGTACAGATTGTGAGACGATTCAATTTAGGATGTGATGCTAGCTTGGTGAGTATTGTTGAATTAAAGATTAGTGGATTAGTTTAATTAAAGTTCTTAAAATATTGTAAAACCACAGCTTAAGAAACGTATTTTGCAGCGACAACTGCAGTTTGCTGAAAGACATATTCAACATAGCAAATAATGGCTAAGCGTTATTTTCAGGGATGAAAAAAAGTTAATAGATGGTTTTAATTACTACTGACATGACCTTAGAAAAGAGAAAACAATTTTGTCACGAATGTTGCTTGGAATGTTGGAGTAATGGTATACAAAAAGTCTCAAATTGTCGGAGTAAGTCTCAAATTGTATACAAAAAAAAAAACCTGTATTAATACAACCTAATACTTACCCCTCTCAAATTGTATACATTTCCGACAAAATAATGCTGTTAGTTATCAAATTATTTTAGAAGAATTCCTTTTGGTGTTTATTACAATATTGGAAGAAGAAGAAAACATTTTTCAGCAGGTTAACACGCCGTTCCATACAGCGTGCGCGATCAACAATAGTTAAACCCCAAGGTCAGTAAAACTACCAGATAGTTTTACTGACCTTGGTTAAACCCGGTCTGGGTGGTTTGAAATGTTTCGTGGCAGACCCACGGAATGGATCTAGACCCTTCTACTCTGGTTAGAATAGGTTCGATTGTACCTCTAGAACAACTCCCTCCTCTCCGTTTGCCAGATCTGACGAATTGGTAATCAGAAAAAGAAAATCTGATTGGTCAAATAAACATTGGTTTTCTAAACGTTCACTGTAAAAAATGAAACTGAAAAGTAAACCAATTTATCTTTTTTTTCTAATGGGCTATTAAGGAAACATAAGCACTAAAGAAAGCTATAACTCAGCTTATAGTAATCTTGGCATTTAATAATTTAAATTGTTCAATACATTAAACTGATTGTTGTTGACTGTAGAAATTGCAAAAATTTTCCAATACATAATTTATTTTAATACATTTTAACAAATGTTTTTATCACATTCATATTTCAAGATTTAAACATATTTAATTTATAGATTTTTTTTTAACTTGCGCAGGTGTTTTTTTTTAGGTTTTATTATTAATACTAAAAAATAAAACACTTCTTCAAAACGATCGTTGGTAACATTGTGTAGACTGAGCTTGGCCTAACACCGGTCAAACACAAACTTAGTGTAGGTTTCATTTAATAAATGTTTTAAAAAGAAATTTCAACATGAAATTAGTAAAGTAAGCAAGCTTTTCAGTTTTTTTATCTTTACTTTATATTAAAAAAATCTTACATGCGTTTATTCGACGCTGTATTCAAAACTTAATGCTTAAAAGATAATTTTTGCAGGTTTTTGATGAAACTTAGCCATGAAACAGTTACTATTGAATTGAAGAACGGTACCCAGGTTCATGGAACCATAACAGGTATAGTTAATTTTTTTTTTCATGGATTTCTTTTACTGGATCCTTTTTTTCAAGTACCCATGCTGTGTTCATGCACAACAAATTTTTGTTTTGGTCTATGGTCCCTAAAAATTGAATTCACTTTCTGTTTAGTTATAAAATTGTGTTCAAGAATTTTGATTTAATTTAATCCAATGTTTCGGGAGTTATCAATTAACATTATCGATATTATCAATATTTTAACAAATAACATTTCGTGGTGGTCAAGTACGTTTTAGGTTACCAAATGTGATCAATATAAAGATGCATTTGAAATATCATGATTTAATAACATTAACAGTGAAGGAGACCATTCTTACTATGATATCTGTATTATGTCAATTTTTTGGGCCCAAGATTGATTTTAGTGGAACCTGTATTATCTGTTCTCCGATTTACTGTCTTTCCTCAACAGTCCAGAAAAAAATAATACTAGTTCATAAATAAGCCATCTGATTGACATGGGCCAAGATCAGTTTGACCACACTTGCCTATGAAATGGTGATAAAACACTTGTCAATTTTTTTGTTCATCACCTTTATTTCTTCCTACAAATTCCCTCAATTAAAACAGGTAACAGTTTGAATTTAATTATAATAATTGATGATTAAATATTAAAATTAAATATTTTTGTCTGAAAATAATGGTAATCACAGCCAGAAATTTAATTATAATAAAAGTTATTTAAGTTGGGAACAAAAAGAAATATGAATACTGTGTCCTCTTTGTTTTTTTTTTAATGTAAAAATTAATGCTTAAGTTCAAGTAAGTTATGAAAAACATTTCACTCAAAGTATTGCCCATAACTAGCTACTACTTGGTCCCATTAAGATGGATCATATCAGAAAGCTGACAGTATATGTATTCTATACCAGAAAAATGTATCTGACAATTTAATATGTTCAAAATATTTTACTTGTTGCAGGTGTCGACGTAGCTATGAATACCCATTTAAAAGCTGTGAAAATGACAATTAAAAATAGAGATCCTGTTCAGTTGGATACATTAAGTATTAGGGGCAATAACATACGCTATTACATTTTACCTGACTCATTACCACTAGAAACCTTGTTGATAGATGACACACCTAAAGCTAAAGCCAAGAAGAAGGATTCATCTCGAGGTAATAGATTTTTTAATAGATGTATTGTAGTTTTTCTCTGGCCATGAGAGATGGTGAGGTGTTAATGGCTGAGTTAAATTTCTCCCCGCAACTCACATATATTTTATCATATTATCAGATTTCTAGGCAATACGTGCAAAGCATTGTGTTAACCCGCTCGGCCACCCTGCCCCTCACTGTTCTAATCAAGACTGTTCCTCTCGTCTGCATATCAAAATCTCTTATGTCCTTTTCGAGTACTATGTTGAAGAGGAGGAAGGCTAGATCATCCCTCTGCTGCATCCCTTAATTCAATTTAAATTTAGCCGGCCTTTATCCATTGATTGAAGCAGCAAAATAATTGTGCCCATTTCCATCATTGGCTGGTATATATTCTTCTGTTAACCAATATTAATATTGAAGTCACCAATAACAATTATTTTCATATAGGATTTTGAACTTGCATCTATGGTCCTCTCAAGCGTGTTGTAGAAACTCTGTTTTTCATTCTCATCTGTGACATCGGTAGAGGCACTAAGAATACTGTTATTACATGCTTTCCCTTTCTACACTTACCTCATGTGGTCCATCGCTGCTCTTTTCTATCTTAATCCTCTTTTCCAATATCCTCTGGCCTGTCTAAAGTTTACAAATTTGTAGTAATTGATTTGGCCTAGAGGCAGTGTGGTTCAGGTTGGTATAAGGAAAGTACATTCCAATTCCCTTATTTTGATGAATCAATTCCTGATTTGACTAATACAATTGTCTGCTAATTTTGGTTAGAAGGATTTAGGGTAATGGGACTACCCACCCACTCTATATGCTGATGGGACATATATATGCTAGTGTAAGTGTACCTCCTTTGTGTAACTTGGTGCTGATAGCTGTCCCTCGACTGGGATTAGCATCAGCTCTTCCTTTGGCATAGATTACATCATTGTGTTATTAACTTTCTTTTAAAACGCAAACACTGCAACGGCGGTAGGCAGGAGCTCGAATCAGTAACTAAGTAAACCATTTAAAAAAAATTATTTACTATGAATGATGAAGGGTCTTTAGTTCAGTACTATTAGTTTAGTATAAGATAATACTGTTTCTATTTTCAATCAGTTAATTGGTTATGCAGGTAGGTGATTTGACCGAGATCACATTCAATCCCCATGTTTTCCTCCTTAATCAATTAATTAATTAAGGGTACCTACTTTATAGAGGCTGGGTGTGCCCCAGCAGGAAATCCTGACCCTAGGGTCGATCTATGGCTAAACAGAATAAATAATTCATAGTTGATAAGAAATATTTCTATTTTACATTTTTAATTAATTTGCTGATTAGTAAATAACTAGTGTAAAAAAAAAGAAAAACAAATTATTTTTAGAATTAACTATGAAAATATCAAAATGAAAATTCCACTCATTTGAATTTAGGGTCAGACTTTCCTAGTACCTTTTACTGCAAACAAAGAAGTGAATTATATTTTAATGAATTTCAACTGATTTATTTGTTTTGTTTTGTTTTATTTACTCATTTTCAGTCTTATTTTATCTGCCTATATCAATAAAATAGATCAAAATAAATTTAAAAAGAAACTTATTGTATTATTAATTATTAACCCACACTCTTTTTACATAAATGTACTTAATTAAATCATTATGTTTGTATTTATAGGTGGAGCACCTCGAGGAAGAGGTAGAGGTCGTGGAGGAAGGGGGCGAGGGAGGGGAAGAGGCAGAGCTCGACGCTGATAAAGAAAAATACTTTTTTCAATTTTTTGTATCTCAGTTTTGTGATTTTTTTTTTTTTTTTTACCGTGAGTGTGAACTAATTTTAAAACATTAGTTTATCAAAGTAAAACTGTAAATGTCAAACATGAACATACACTTTTAAAAATAAAGTTCTGAATTCATACGTTATTTCCTGATTTTAATTTATGAACTATATCACTAATTCTATTCCTTGTTGTTGACCCATTCACTATTATTAATTTTTGACAATTTATTTAAGTGCTTTCATATTGTTGTTTGTGTGGTTCATTATTTTTTTTTTTTAATTTCTTAATATCTCACATTATAATAAAGCATACTCTTCTCAGAATGAAATAATTAGTCACTATCACTATGTTCTCTTAATATTTTTTTGGAATTAACAAAGCCATTAAATATTCTTTCAAAAGTTACTTATGAAAAATTATTAAAAGAAAAGTATGGCACTTATTAAAATTATTAAAGACAGTTAACTTATGGGTTTCATTTATTTAACTTATGTGGAGTTTAATAATTCTTCATTTTTTCTTTAAAAGAAAAGTTTAAATTGGGAGGAAGGTAAAAAATGGTTTGTTCAAAGTATGTGGCATTGCTAGTTACACATTTTCCCCATCTCTCTAACGATTTGTGGAAGCTCTTAAAAAAAAAACCTATAACTTTTAAGATAGTTTAATCATGAAGCCATTTTTGAGCCATAATCGTTCAAATGTTTCATGGCGATGTGTGAGACATTGATGAATACAAGCGGTAGTCGGAATATTGATGATTGCTCTGGGTCAAACCATAATTTTCATGATGATCAAAACCTAACATAATTTAATAAATTTCAAATAAACTTATAATATTCCATTCGAGTACACCTAATAATGACAGCTATTGAATGTAATAGATCTTCTCTTATTCATATAAATGTGATTAAAATACTGTCAAGGAAAAAGTCAATAGATAATGTTAATTCAGTTAAAACATCATTGGTTAAATTACACTTTAACAATTTTTTAACATTACATGAAATGCATAAACAAAAAAAAAAACTCGAACTTTTAAAAAAGAACGCAAGCACTTTTTTTCATATATTTTACTTTTTGACACCTACTATGGAATGGAATAAGTCTCAGCGTGTAGGTAAATGTAGCTAGTTGTTAAGTTTGTGTTTATACTTAGATCATGCTTAGATTTTTTCATAGGCCTAAAAATATTTATTCAAATTATCTGTAAATAGTGTTAATTTTTTGTAAAATTGCTCTTTAATTTGTTTAATTGCTTTAATAAGGGTTAAATCGGAGGAAACTGGAGAAAATAGTTATTGGTCTATGTTCTTGGGATGTTAAGGAAAAATAAAATAGTATAAAAAGTGTGATTGGAATACTTTCATTATAAGGATTTTTCCTGCCTATGCAGCATTGGATGGCAACTCTGAGAATTTACTTTCCCACCATTGGATCACAGTTATAAATGACTTGGGTCCTCTCAGACTACTGGATCTCAAGATTATCACAGGACTTGGAGGATTCCGAGCTAAGCTCGTAGAGTTTAGTTTAAACATCAATATAAATAATCGCTCGAAGACGTATACAAGTTCTTCAAAAATTTCATTACTGGATGAAAAGAAATTATTACAGCAGCTCACTTCTTGGGAAGAAGAGCTGTGCCAGGGAGGCTACCAGAATGAGGTGAGAAGAAAACAAAGCTGAACTAAGTGAAAAAATGTAGCAGTGGGTTGTTATGAACAGTAACATCCTACTGCTGCAAATACCTGTATTGCCTTAGAGGCAGTGAAGGGTAGAAAATAAATAAATAAAATATGAAACCACTTTTATGTTGTCACTCAATTTTATAAATAAATAGTATTGTAAAAATGATAATGTTAGTAGTTTTTCATTAAAAAAAAAATGAGCAATATAGTAATACTAATGAGTAATTTTTATCTCATATGGTACGTCAATTCAGAATAATAACTAATATTTTGGTAGTACAGTTATAGTTACTTGTACAAAAAATATGACATCAAAAATTGAATTGAAAAAAATGAATTTCTGTTTGTTTGAAGTACTGAATTTAGGGTTAATGCTTGATTGAATTGGTTATTCAAAATATTTCGGGATGTTTTTTTCAATTCTTTACAATTTCTCCAGTTCTTCAATATTGGCTTCTTCCTTCTTTTCTTCTGGGCTTTCTGAAACAAAATTAAATATGATTACCACATGAAATATACCATACCATGAAAATTTGCCACACCCTCTAGTTTGAAGAAAAGTGTAATACTACTCATTTGAAAATATTTAGTAACTTTCTTTAACTTGTCAAGTAAATACCTCCTAAAATTTTATTCTATTCCGGTGATTATATTATTTTAAATTAATATTTTTATGAAAGTTAGTGATAAAAATTATATGTAGCACGTGATATAGTTATACGAATAATGTGGAGTAATTATTATTAGTCATCTCAGTTTGTAAAACTTTTTTTATATCTTGAAAACTTATAAAATTAATATTTATTTTTTATCTAGTGCCCAGGATTGATTTCAATTATTTGTAAGTGTAAAATAATTTTGGTTTCACATTATGTGAACTTTCCAGACAAATCTTATGCATGAATGAATAGTTAAATGATATTAAATTTTTTTAAAATAAATTATTAATTTTAATGCTAAGAATTGTAGTGACATAATAATAATATTAACTTTTTAGTTTAAAAAATATTAATAATAATAATAGTAAAATAAAAAAAGCGTTTTACCTGTACTTACTACGACACCTTTCTTTTCTGTGACTGTTTCCAGCTTGGGCTGAAGAAATAAATAAAGGAGAGTAAAAGCTAATGCACTGATACCAAACATCAAAAGTGTCTTAGAACTTCCAATTTTCTTGAACATGTACCCGCCAATTAAGCTACCAATAGAGACCCCTAAAACAAAATTGATTTTGAAAAATAAAATCACTTGTTAATGCAGTTCATTAATATAAAAGCATTAGAAGCTATTGCTGTCATATACTTATTGCATATAATATATTGTTGCTGTTATATACTTTATTCATCAATAATCACCCAAGTGCCTCAAAACATGTGAATGACATAAACTAGCTGCTAAGTGTCACATATTATCTACAGAAGTCATGGAAATCTGTCTCCATGAGGTTCTAAATAAATTATCCTGAACATTAAGATATCCATCATTCCGCCTTAAGTGATCTACTCATCTCTGTTGAAGACCAATGTGCAGGAAGGGAGGATTCGTAAACTTCAACTCTTTGCCAGTTTGTATTGTAAAATCATTGTGGTTAGCATTTATTAGGCAAATCCACATCATAACCTTAATTAATCAAGGGAATAATTACTAAATTATTTTACTTCCTGCCCTAGTCAGAGTACTTAAAGATATAAACAAAAATTATTTTGGGAGGTTGCGGTAAAATAAATACTAATTTTTTTTTTATTATTTTAATGGAATTTACAACTGTATTACATAGAAAATACAATAAGTAAATGTGAAATTGGTAACATGACATGTACAACATGAAGAGAAACTACCCATTGGTAGAACTCAAATTAAAGTTCTATATTAGAAGATCCCGAGGCCATCTTCTTTTCAGATGCCTCGGAGGGTTATCAGGGATCTATAAATTGTTAAAGTAGTATTTTAACAATTCATTGTTTATTTTACCGCACCCCTCGACCAACTCATATTATACCACGGTCAACCATCTCTATACCATTAAAAATAATTTTACCTGCTCCTTCAAACAATGCTCCAACTACATTCTGGACTGTTGCTTCTGCTCCAGGTGGCGAGATTGAACTGGCGTAGGTAACCATAATTGCGTAAAAGACACCAAATGTTACACCATTAAGAACTTCTATTGGAAGAACCCACCAGGGATCAGTTAGAGAGGAATAAAGGAGAAATCTTAGTGCAATACAGAAAAGTACAATTACCATCGATTTCGGTGGGCCAACTTTTTTTATAATCCAACCTAGAAAATAAATAAATTCATCTAAGTCTTTATTAAAATTTCTTTCATAAGATAGAGGTTATAAATTAATTGTTACAGTTATATTACCTCATTTCACCTGGAGGTAGAGGCAAATAAAATTAAAGCCCTACCTGAAGCAAATAAGAATGGTATTTCCCCTAAGTAACACTGAACTGTCAACATAAGTCCTTGTAGAGTGCTCAGCTGTGATTTATCAAATCCAGGAGTATTTGCTGCCAAATCTTCGATAAACCTAAGAAAAACATTTCAATGGGTGAAGGGAATACAAGCTAATCAATACATACCAGTATTAAATACACAAGATAATTAAGTAATTCCTAAATAAATAGTAAATTAGCAAAGTAACAACTAGCCCCCAGTTAAGTAGAATCCTGATAGTAAATACTATCAGTCATTACTAGCTTGTTATTTAAGCTAATAATGGTTTTCGAGACAAATGTTTTGACAAGCATACCTTATCTCTCTACACTTCACATGACTGTGTCATAGTCAGTTTTAAAAATGAAGTCAAGCAAAGGAAGATGAAAGAGCTGTCTAATATCTGAACATAGTGTTATTTTCATAAATTAAAAGTCTATATCATGATAAATACAAATAAGACAAGATCAACATCAAACAAATAATATTCTCTAGAGAGTGGAAGACAGGCTACAACTGCTCAGTTTAAATAAGTGTTGAACAGCTTGAAGACAGTGATAATGAAAATATTGACATTAAAACTACAGGAAACAAACCAGTTGAATTTAAACAGTAGGATGGATAATTGGTAAAGGTAATTAATAAAGATAACAATTTATAATGTACAAGGATTCTAGAAGCCTTTGTGGAAGACCTGGTCAGCTCAGAACTCTGAAGATCAGGCATTCTTAACTTAAGTAGTCCAATAATTTCCTCTTGAAAAATATTTTTTAGTAGACCCCACCCCAACCTTAGGCAGTTGAAATCGTTATATTAATAACTAGTTAAGTAACAACAAATACAGTCATACATTTGTGTGATTCTGTTAAGTATTTATCATGTTTAAGTCTACATGATAAAAGTTTCTATTAAATGAGTTATTTTTAAGAACCTATAATCTATGCAAACTGATACATAGTCCACACAAATTCATACCAATGCCAATATAAATGAGCCAATATAATCTTATAATGATTTGAAACTTACACACACAAGAATTAATAAATAACTACAATAAGCAATAAAATACAATTTCAATTAGATCAAGTCAAGATTAAGTGAGGAGAAAAAAAACTGGAAAAAAATCAGAAAGACTAACAAAGAAAAATTTGTGACATCCTATGGATGCAAATTCCAAACTATTTAATAGCAATAAACAGAATTAAAATTAAAGACTAAAACAATTAGAAGTGGAAAAAACCTGAATATATTCCAGAAAAACAATTTTTAGATGGGGTAGAACATGTAATATAATAAGATAGCTTCTTTTTGAAATTCCAACAAATTTATTCAGAAGAAAGAAGTAATGTTTTTTAACTATTTAGCATTTAGGAGGCTACTTTTAACCTAAATATATACATTTTTAATTACCTTACCAAAACAAAAAATTCCAAATTATAGCACAGTAAACTCCACCAAGGAAGCACCAAAACATAAAGAGGCAGATGCGAAGATCCGTGAATAACTTTTTAATATCAGTCATCAGGTTTTTGGATTTCTTGGTAAATTTTGCCTTTAAATAAGTACACATAGAGATCATTTACAAGCATATACTATTTCAATTAAATTACAAAGTACATTTGAAAGAATTACTTTTATGTTTAAGAAAACTACAAAATCCAATGAGAGTAATACAAGAAACATATAATATGATGGAGTAAAATTCTTATTCAACATCCCTTTGCTGAATTTATCCACAACTATGCCATTGATGAAAGCAAAAATACCCCAACTAGCTGCTCCCCACAACCTCTGTACGCCAAAATTTTGTGGTTTATCACCTGGAATCATTTAGGCATAGATAACACTCAGACAGTAGTTTATATTACCACAACATTTGCTTTATTCATGTCTTTCTTATATTCTCTTTTTGACTAAATATTAGATACTTAAATAATAATTCAATTAAATACTTTTGAATTATTTAAATTCAATTTTGGTATGATTCCTCAATCCATAGGGATTTGCAATGCATTAATTTAAAAAGCCGAGATGTAAATTAAATACTAATCATACAGACATCACAAAACCTTACTTAGTAAAAAAAAATCTTATTTCGCAATAATAATTAAGTAAATATAGTGTCGTGAAAAAGGCTTAGAAAAAAATTAATTTTTATAAAAATGACAAATGTTTCAGTTTATAAGTGTTTTTATCTTCTCAATTGTAAACTGATTTAACCTAGTAGACATTGTAGAAGTAATATATATTTAAATTAGCATTATGTTCAATTAACAAGTCAAGGGACAAATCCGTTGTGTTGACGTTATTTTCAGGAGCTATAATGATGCTACCTTATTGTTTAAATTTCAATACTTTGTTATTCACTTCAGTTTTTAATCTTTATTGTTAACATAAAGAGCTTTGTATAAATTCTAGGAAGCTGCAAGGATGTGTGAAAACTGTTCTAATATTGGAATTCTCTGTTTAATTTAATTTAATGTTACTTTTATTAAAACAAAAGCAAAATATCCACATTTTTTATCATTATCTTACAGAAAAAAAAAGTTCTGCCAAATTAGCTTAATCCCAGATGGTATTGCATGGTATGTAAGAGTGTTATAGTACTGTTTTGCATCCAGTTGTCCATCTATTCGCAAGATGTCTCCAAGTCCAGATCAAGAAATACACCCCCGAACCATTAAAAAGCCACCATACCAATTTTCAGTTTTTTTTCCCGGAAATTTCATTTAACATTCCATTTTTCATAATTTCATTATGTTTTCTATTTAACGTAACTATTCTTTCAGAAAATGGCAAAATATCTTATTTTTTCATCAACATAAAATTACAATTTTGCATAGACAAGAACTTTCAATTAGGGAAAATCAAAAAGAAATTGAAGATTCTTACAAACAGAAGACAAGAAAAATGGACATGTTCAAACAGATCTAAAATAAATAATCCTGCTGTTAAACGACAAGTAAAATTATTTGTGTTGATACAACTGCAGAAAACCTAGCAGAGAACTGGCTCAGGAAATAGCCGATGTTACGAGGGCCCAAGGAAACTCGTATCTTTTGACCTTAAAGGTTGTGTTCCCAGAAGAAAACTATTTCTTCTGTCCCTTAACGAGTGAAGGCAACTTTAGATTACCAAAGGTCAAAAAATTGGATAGAAGAAGAATGGAACTAATTTTTAATGAGAGATGAGTCAAAATTTGAAATGTTTGATTCCGGAAAGAGGCAGTATATTAGAGAGGATCTAATGGTGGAATTTTTTATGAATGTTTGCAACCAATAGTAGAACATGAAGGTGGCTTCTTAATGGTTTGGGGTGTGTTTCTTGATCTGGAGTTGGCGACATCTTGTGAATATGTGGAAAACTGGATACAAAACAGTACCATAGCATTCTTACATACCATGCAATACAATCTGGGATTAAGCTGATTAGGCAAAATATATTTTTTTCTGTAAAACAATGATAAAAAATATGGATATTTTGCCTTTTTTTAAAGTAAGAGTAATATTAAATAGAAAGAAAAATGAAATATGGAGTGTTAAATTAAATTTTCGAAAAAACCCCCAGAGAATTCCATTATTAGAACAGTTTTCACAGATACATTCAGCTTCCTAGAGTTTATACAAAGCTCTTGATGTTAACAATAAAGATTAAAAACTGAAGTGAATTACAATAGTGAAATTTAAACAATAAGGTAGCATTATTATAGCTCCTGAAAATAACATCAACACAACGGATTTGTCCCTTGACTTGTTAATTGAACATAATGCTAATTTAAATATATATTACTTCTACAATGTCTACTAGGTTAAATCAGTTTACAATTAAGAAGATAAAAAACACTTTTAAACACAAACATTTATCATTTTTATAAAAAATTGTTTTTTTTAAAGCCTTTTTCACTACACTGCATTTACTTAATTATTATTGCAAAATAAGACTTTTTTTTGCTAAGGAAGATGTTATGATGTGATAAGGGTGTGAGATGTGATTGGTGTTTAATTCATATCTTGGGTTTTAAAATTAATGCAATGCAAATCCTAGATTGACTTTTTCACACCAGGGTATGAAGATACATATGCTGAGATTCTGAAATCTCCATTTACTGTAAACAAAGTAGAATATAAATGATTTAATTATGTATTTAGAAATACTCATGCCTGCAGAATAAACAAATAATTAAATAACCTGACAAATATTATTAGTCAGAACTGTAACTGCAGGATTACATTAACTGTTATTATTTTCAATTACCTAGAAGAATAAAACAATATGCATCACTAAAACTCTGTAATACACTGACTATGACCCTATAGGCAATGATTAATGCAAATGCAATCCAAAACGCAGTAGTTCCTGTTTCCGCATCATCATCAACAGATTTTTTCTTTATTATCTCCATCAAGTCTGCATTATCACAGCAGATATTCATTAAAATAGAGGTTTTGTTTTTACATTGTTCTACACTGTAAGTTGAGAGATCAGAAAGATGCGATAGTTCTGCCACTAAACAATTGTCCTAGAACGCAAAACAATTTTGAAATGTTTCAGAAAATAAATTAAGCTATAATGAGTTTGTATTTGATCATAGTTAAAATACATATCAATAGGAAATAAATAACTGTAAAGTAAAAAAAAGTGATATGACAGGTAACCTACTAATTGTTTGCACTAAAGCTACCACCTCATAAAATTTGCATTATTTATACTCTTAAATTCACAATATCAGTATTAAACTGATAATGTTGTAATAAACTTACTTTCAAATAGTATTCTGGACCCAATCTAATAAATGTGTCTTCATCTTCAAACTGAAATGAGTCCTCAGTATCAACCTGAAATGAACAAGGATAATTGTATTTGTGCAAATAGTAATAAAATTGGTCATGATCATAGAAATAATATACATTAACTCTTAACATATTTTTAAAAATACACAGGGTGACTCAGTTCTTAATGGCTGAGATCCTGGGGGATGATTCTAGACAAAATTTCGAACAAAAATGTTCATTTGATGCATGGAAGGATTCCAAACGGAAAAGGAGTTAAGACCAATTTTGTGTGGTCACATTTTTTATTGAATAAGAAGGAATTGCTCAGAAACTATTAAACAAAATTCAACATACATTTCAGTCTAGGTCAGATATTAACAGTTTACTGCTCTTTGAAAGAAAAGTAAGTAGAAGAATGTTTGTAGGTGATCAATTCAGACAAAGTCACAAGGCAGAGTTGCACCAGCTTTATCAGAAGTCAGTATATGACTAGGTAAGATTTTAATTGTGCCCAGAGAAGGGTTGTTTACAAAATTTGTCTTTATTAAAATTCCTAATCTTATACCAAGGGCTATAAAAATATTTATTATATTATTTTATTAAATTTGAAGTATGAAATATAATTTTAAAATTACCTTACAAGTGATGGTAGCATCAACAGATTTTCCAATCTTATCGATGTAATCAACATTTTCAATTAGAGACTCATTCAATCTTTCTGAACAAACTCTCAGACTAAGATTTCTATCACAAAGTAGTTCCGCTGTGGTATTAAAGGGAATACTTGGTAACCACTGAATTATGAAACCAGTCATTATATGAAGAATCAACATAACAATGAAAATAATTCTATGACATCTATATTTATCTGCTATGGTACCGCATATAGGTCTCACTAAGATTACTATTATTGGGTATGCAGTAAAAATCCATCCAACTGATATAGATGAATATCCTAAATCTTTTAGTATTAGGGGCAAGAAAGGAAAAATAGGAGAACTTCCTGAAACAAAAAATTAAAGTAGAGAAACTGAAATAAATCATTGAATATCATTTAATTTTCCTGTATTATAGGAAAAGAAGCATTGCTATCTATAACACAAATAAAAATAACATATTTAAGATGTAAATTTTACAACAAACTTTAAATTTGAAACCATCTTCTAATTTCAACCAATTAAGAAAAATTAAAAAAAAAAAAAAAAAACTTAGAATAAGTACTGCAATCCTCATAATGATTAATTTAAATGGTAAACACAAAAAATTATGATAGTTTGAGATAATTGAATAATAACCACCTGCGTAGAACATGAAATAGTGAGCTTTCATTGGAAATAATTTCTTATTCAATTTCATTTTGACACCTAGAGTGGAAAAATAGAAAAATATTTATATTAAAATAACAGGCAACATAGTTTAAGGACGTTATTAAATTAAGAAATCATACCAGAATTTATAAATAATAAGTAGAAAAATTTATGTCAAAATTGAAAGAGAATTTGTTTTAAATAGAATCACAGTACTGAATGATTAATGAAATGCAGCAATTTATCTAAGACAAAGCATTTTATCTCAGTTTGTTCAAATCAAATCTCCAAATACACACTATTCTACAAATATTACAAAATAATGTGTTTAAAAAAATACTAGAGCAATGATATAAATTATGTGAAGAAATATGAGTGAATGAAAATGGAAATATTAAGTAACAATTTTTGTTTTTTCAAAAATACAAGAATAATAAAAATACTGCTTTTTATATAAATAAAATTGCAAAATTAATTACATCTTTTACATACTAAACATGGAACATGGATGCATATATAAGAAGGCACCACATTCTGTATATCTAATGAAGAATACTATTTTATAATTTAATAAAATAAAACTTGAATATCATTTAAAATGAAGAAATCTATGAATGCCACACATACAGCGAAGAATTTGAATGAGACGTAAATTTATCAAAGAAATTCAAAATCTATTAAATTAAAAATAACAAGCTTTTGTCACTGTAAAGTAAAAGAAATATTAAGTAAATTGTAAAAAAAAAAATAAGCATACAAAATTTACAATTAGTTGAATCAACCTCAACCATTATCTTATAATATAAGAATTAGCATAAATTATGAAGTATAAAAATAAAAAGAACTAAATTGTTAATAAATAAGTCACAAAATTTTAAGTAAATCTATTTACAATATTTTATATTGTTAGTATTAGGAAAGGCAGTGCAATGAATAATTAGAGATCATACTTCTTTTTAAAACCTAAAACTAGAACTACCTTACCCAATCTATAACAAGGGAATACTCAGAAAGGCAAGAATGCAGGAAGAAGAAAGAAAATTACCATCTTGTTGTTGAGTAATTGAATCTCACTTCCATTCATTAGAACGTTTATTCAATTCAAACCTTTTCCAGTATGGATACATTTCTTTCCTTTTTTACTTCAATAAAATGAATTAAAATATTTTATTTTGTATCTTTAGAATAATCGTTAATGGTATTTATGTACAAAACTCATTTGAAATTAAAATTATAATATAAGTATTTCAACTCCATATTTATCCTGGAAATCGGCTTATCGCCATGACTAGTATCTAAATATTTTTTCTATATTTGAAAGTTTCAACATTACTTGGACAGAAAATATACTACATAAAATTAACTGTATGGAATTTAATGAGGAGATAAGTCTTGAAGGGTGTACTCAAGCATGTGAATAGCATCATTGGGACTTGCATACCGCATGGGCTTAGAATCTAAACAAAAAAATATATTATTATTATTTAAGATTAATAGCAATATTAAAATCATTAACATTAAGGTATTAAAAGATAGTAGAAATATAAAACTTTTCTAGCGTAAAAACATTCAAAAAGGAAAATATGGAAGGGTAACTCTGTGAACTGAAATTCAGGATGAAGCGAGCTAACTGTCAAAAATAAAAATTATAAAATATATGGTGATTTTCTTCTCTCATAAATACATATTTTCCCTCAGCTTAATTTTATTTTCAATATACATAAGGCAGAAATACACAGATATAAGTTTGTAAACTGACATCAGATAAAAAAACTAAACATCTTTGTCACTAAAACTCAAAATGTATTTATATAGCTCCATAAAAGAGACAAGAGAGCATTAATTTTATATAATAATGAAAAAGTTAAAAATTTTAAAGAGAAACTAAGTCAAATATGTTTCAACTGATAAAAAAGATGTTTATGCTCTGCTTAAGATAATCACCCTCTTAATTTAATTTTACTAATTTTTTTTAATCCATTACAGATTAACTGAATGTCCATACTGGCATAACTCTAGTGCACATGCAATTTTATGTCTGAGCTCCGCTGAAAGCGAAATCTTTGAAGATTAAGGAAAAATTTGAACTTGCTTTGGCAACAAAAAATAAGAGAAAAAGTTGTGTCCCTGATTGACATATTACCAGAGTACCTTATGGTTGGTGTATCCATGAATTGCTCTGCTGATTTCTCACACAATTGTCCCTCCACCTAGAGCATTTGGCCACAAAATACTCCTTGCCTACCTAAGTGGCCATTCAAATTAAAGTAATAGTTCAGTACCTCGAATGCTCTGATGGAATTTGAAAAAGGCCAAATGGAATAAATTTTCCCAACTCACTCACACAACCATTACTTCTGAAACCATTGATAATGCAACTTCAAATGGCAATTCTCACGTGTGCAAAGTAGTCCATTCCTCGGAGATTTATAAAGAGACACTCCCCATTCTGGAGTGATTATCTACAGAAACTAGAAGAAAGTAGGAATGCAGCAAGAAAAGATGTAGAAAGGTCAAGAAACCCAGAAGATATTGTCAGGCTAAGACAACTTGTAGTAACACTAAAGTTCAATATAATTCAAGCCAAATGAAAAGCTTTCAGAGAGTTTTTGGCTAATCTGGACTTTCGAAGAGATGGGGTGAAAGCACATTGATTCATCTAAAAGCTAAATGGGAGAAAAGATCCAAGGAACAATCTTCCTAAATTTAATGAGAAGGAAATGTTTTCAGGACTTGCTATAGGCACGAGTTTTTGTAAATTCTTTGCCAGGGCCTCAGCTACAAACCAGCCAAAGGAAATAAGAAAATAAATAACACACTACCAATTTTATGTCTGAGCTCCGCTGAAAGCGAAATCTTTGAAGATTAAGGAAGAATTTGAACTTGCTTTGTCAACAACAAATAAGAGAAAAAGTTGTGTCCCTGATGACATATTACTAGAGTACCTTATTCACCTGAATGCAAAAGCCAAGCTCACAGTGCTAGATTTCCTCAATACTGCATGGAGGTCTCAATATTCTAGTGCCAGTACCATCTTCTGTCTGAGGGTAAGGATGGGGAGAGGATCATATTGGCAGCAGGGTATCTCCCTTACGAAGAGGACATCCCTACAGCGGCTCTTAGAAACTTAGAGGAAAGGATGGAAAAAGAAACGGTGATAGCAGGGCTGGATGTCAATGCTCACCACAGGATCTGCGGAAGCTCTAAGAACAACCGGAGAGGTGAGTCTCTCTTAGAGTATTTAAGTAGCTTCGATATTGAGATTTTAAGTAAGGGCAATGTTGCCACCTTTGTTAATAGAATCCGCTCGAAAGTAATAGACATAACATTAGGCACGCGTTGCTTGAGTTCTAGGATACGGGGATGGCATGTTTCTGGTGAAGAATCATGCTCTAATCATCGTTATATCAGATTTGACTTATCTGTATATAATGTGACTGAGGCTGTATACAGAAATCCAAAACGTACAAATTGGGAGAGATACTGCATACAGCTCGAGGAAGAATTCAAATGCTGTCCTAACATCATTAGGAATTCTTGGCATTTGGAATGCCTCAACTCCTATGCGGAAATCATGAGGTCCTATACTGATAATAATAGTGTCAGTTGCGTCAGATACAATAGGAATGTTTCGTGTTGGAACTACAAACTTGGCAAGCTAAGAGCATCAACCAGAAAACTCTTTAATTCTGCCAAGAGTACGGGCAGATGGGATACCTATAAGCATGCCCTAACTGAATATAATAAGACTGTATGTAGGACAAAAAGGGGGGCATGGAGAAGAACTTTTGTAGTGACATTAATGACAAGTCATCCACGTCCAGAATCCACAAAATCTTAGCAAAGCAAACCGATGGCTCGGTCAGGGTTGAAGGAGGTAATACCTATTCTGGATAGGATACTCTGGAGGCTCTGGCGAGTGTTCATTTTCCTTGCTGCCAAATACTTGGTGAGTATAAATGTTGGAAACAGTAGGAACAATCTAGGAGGATGCAGTGAGATGCTTCATTAATCACATATGTTATAATTAAAACATATGATATAATTGAACAAGTTTTGTTATTGCAAACATTTGAATTGTGCTTTGTTCTCATAAAAATAATATTATTAATAAAAGAATATCAGTGCTGTGTATTTGCTTTGTTCTTTTATTTTGTGCGTGCGAGTAACAATATAGTTAATCCCAATATGGATAGTTACATCTGTGGCAAAGACAAGTGGGTTGAAGCCAAAATAATTATGAATTCTAGGAGAGTTGAATGGGCAATTAATTCCTTTGCACCGTTCAAATCAGCTAGTACTGATGGGATTTTCCCAGCCCTGTTACAAAAGGGGTTACCTGTAATTAAACCCTATTTCTTGGAATTATTTAGGGGGTAGTTTAGCACTTGCATATATCCCTAATAAGTGGAGGGAAGCAAGAGTTTGTTATATATCTAAGACTGCAAAACAGTCTTATGACAATCCCAAAGCATACAGACCTATATGTCTGACTTCTTTTTTGTTGAAGGCGTTGGAAAAGATATTGGATAGACACATTAGGAACTCTACATTAGTAGAAAGACTGCTATACTGAGCCCAATTTGCCTATCAAGCCGGCAAATCTTGTGAGACAGCATTGCATTATTTAGTCTATAGAATTGGGACAGCTTATTGCAGAAAGAGATTATGGCGGGAATCTTTGTTGATATTGATCGTACCCTATATGAAAAAATGGAAAGAGTATTGGAAAGTAGAGGGGTCAGACTCTTGGCTTCAGAATGGATTAATTTGGTTCTGAGGAGGAGAATCCTTAAATCTGAGCTGGGACTATCTGCACTGTGATTTAAACCTGTTGGAGGGTGTCCAAAAGGGAGATGTGTTGTCTCCACTCTTGTGGTGTTTATTCGTCGACTCTCTGACTGTTAAATTGAATGTGGTGGGGTTTCATTCTCAAGGATACACTGATGATATTTTAAAAAAATCAGACTTCATGAATGGTCATACATATGTGTAGATATTAGTAGTTAATAGTTGGTCACATGCCACAGTAATAGATGATCAGAAACAAAAAATGC